CCCTGGCCCGAAACAGCTTCACTGGAGAATTCTACCATTTCTAACATTTAGAGAAGAGCTCACACCAATACTACTCAAACTATTTCACAGCATAGAAAAGGAAGGAACCCTCCCGAATTTATTCTATGAAGCCAGAATAACCCTGATACTAAGCTAGGCAAAGACATCACACAAAAAAAGAAAGTTACAAACCAATTGTCATGGATTGAACTGTGTCCCCAAAAAATATGTGTCAACTTGGTTAGGCCATGATTCCCAGTATTGTGTGGTTGTCCTCCATTTTGTGATTGTAACTTTATGTCAAAGAGGATTAGGGTGGGATTCTAACACCCTTACCCAGGTGGCATCCCTGATCCAATGTAAAGGGAGTTTCCCTGGGGTGTGGCCTGCACCACCATTTATCTCTCAAGAGATAAAAAGGAAAGGAAAGTGAACAGAGAGTTGGGGACCTCATGCCACCAAGAAAGCAGTGCTAGGAGTAGAGCACATTCTTTGGACCTCAGGTTCCTGTGCTGAGATGCTCCCAGACCAAGGGAACACTGATGACAAGGACCTTTCTCAAGAGCTGATGGAGACAGAAAGCCTTCCCCTGGAGCTGACACCCTGAATTTGGATTTGTAGCCTACTGGACTGCAAGAGAATAAATTTCTCTTTGCTGAAGGCATCCACTTGTGGTATTTCTGTTACAGCAGCACTAGAAGACTAAGACATCAATATTCCTCATGAATATAGATGTAAGAATTCTTAACAGAATTCTAGCCAATAGAATTCAATAGCATATCAAAAAAATAATATATGATGACCAAATGTGATTCATACCAGGTAAGCAAGGATGCTTCAACATTAGAAAATCAATCAGTGTAATCCATCACATAAATAAAAGAATCACATGATCATCTCAATCAACACAGAAAAGGCATTTGATAAAGTCCAACACCCATTCCTGATAAAAACTCTCAGCAAAACAGGAATAGAAAGGAAATTCCTCAACATAATAAAAGGCATTTATACAAAACCAACAGGCAACATTATTCTCAACAGAGAGACTGAAAACCATTCCCCTGGAGAACAGGAACCAGAAAAGGATGTCTTTAATCACCACTCTTACTCAACATTATATTGTAAGTCCTAGCTAGAGCAACAAGGCAAGAAAAGGAAATAAAGAGCATTCAAATCGATAAAGAAGTTGTAAAACTATCCCAATTCACAGATGTAGAAAATCTCAAAGATTCCACAAGAAAGTTACTGGAACTAATAGAAGGATTTAAGGAAGTAACAGGATACAAGATCAACATACAAAAATCAGTTGGACTCCTCTACACCAACAAAAAGAACTTTGAAAAGGAAATCAGGTAAAGTATACCATTTATAATAGCCCCCCAAAAGATAAAATATTTAGGAAAAAATCTAACCAGGAATGTAAAAGACCTATACAAAGAAAACCACAAAACACTACTGGAAGCAACCAAAAGCAACCTACACAAATGGAAAAACATAGATGGATAGGAAGACTCAACATTGTGAAAATGTCAAAATCACCCAAAGTGATATATAGATATAACACAATCTAGATCCAAATTCCAACACCATTCTTTAACTAGTTGGAAAAACTAATCACCAACTTTATATGGAAAGGAAAGAGGCCCTGGATCAATAAAGCATTACTAAAGACAAAGTAGGAGTGCTCACACTACCTGATCTCAGAACTTATTATACAGCCACGGTAGTCAAAACAACCTGGTACTGGTACAATGACAGACGCATAGACCAATGGAACAAAATTGAGGACCCAGACATAAATTCATCCATCTATGGACAGCTGATATTCGACAAAGGGCCAAAGTCCACTAGGGGAAGGGACAGTCTCTTTAACAAATGGTGCTGGCAAAACTGGATGTCTATCTGTACAAAAATGAAACAGGATCCATACCTCACATCATACACAAAAACTAACTCAAAATGAAACCTAAAGCTATAAAGATCATGAAAGAAAAAATAAGGACAATGATAGGGGCCCTAATATATGGTGTAAATAGAATACCAAAGATAACTAGAAACACACCAACAGCAGAAGATGAACTAGATAAACAGAACCTCCTAATAATTAAATACTTATGCTTATCAAAAAACCTTCAAAAGAGTAAAAAAAAGAACCTACAGGCTGGGAAAAAAATTTTGGCTATGACATCCAACAGGTCTAATCTCTAAAATCTATAAAATAAAATACTGTAACAGTTCAACAACAGAAAGACAATCTAATTAAAAAATGGGCAAAGGATACGAACAGACACTTCACCAAAGAAGACATTCAGGTGGCTAACAATCACAGGAGGAAATGCTCGCGATCATTAGCCATTAGAGAGATGCAAATCAAAAAACTACAATGAGATACCATTCCATCCTGACAATAATTGCATTAAATCAAGAAAACAGAAAATAATAAATGTTGGTGAGGTTGTGGGAAGATTGGAACACTTATACACTACTAGCGGGAATGTAAAATGGTACAACCACTTTAAAAAAGTGAAAAAATGAAAAAGGGTATGGCGCTTCCTTTAAAACCTAGAAATAGGAATACCATATGATACCATATGTACCACTCCTAGATATATACCCTAAAGAAATAAGAGCCATTACATGAATAGAGATATGTACACCCATGTTCATTGCAACATTATTCACAATAGCAAAAAGATGAAAACAACCTAAGTGCCCATTAAAGGATGAATGGATAAACAAGCTGTAGTAAATACACACAATGGAATACTAGACAATGATAAAGAATAATAACGGATCTGTGAAATATCTCACAACATAAATGAATTTGGAGGACATTTTGCTTAGTGAAATAAGTCAATCACACAAGGACAAATATTGTATTTTTTATAAAAAAGAAGGTTTACATGCAGGAAAAAAAAAATTCTTTGTTGGTTACGAGGGATAGGAGGGGGAGAAAGGGGGAAAATTACTAACTAGATAGAAGACATGTTAATATTGGTGAAGGGAAAGGCAATACACAATATAGGGAAAGTCAGCACAACATGACCAAGTCAAAGGAAGACGAGAGGAACACAGGAATAAAGAGCAACTACGGTAATCACCGCAACACAGACAATCCTGTAACAATAGTATTAACAAACAATAATTTACGAATGGATATGTAGGTAGATAGGTATGCTAAAGATGAGTGGGAGGGTATAAGGGAACACACCCACCTGCAGATATAGGTTTGGTTGTAGATATTTCTACATATACAATTGTAGAAATACAACCTACATAACACCTCATGGGATGAAATTCCTAGGCTCCAAAGTGAAGGACCATAAACTTGGGGGACATCTGCATCAATTGGCACAACATAGTTCATAAAGACAATGTTCTGCATCCTACCTGATGAGTAGCATCTGTGGTTAAAAGCTTGTGAGTGGACATCCAAGATACAGCTATTGGTATCTTCCTATCTGGAGCAAAGAAGAGTGAAGAAAATCAAAGGCTCAAGGGAGCAATTAGTCCAAGGGACTAATGGGCCACATAAACCACAGCCTACATTACCCCAAGACCAGAAGAACTGGATGGTGCCTGGCTACCACTACCGACTGCTCTCACTGGGATCACAACAGAGGGTCCCAAACAGCCTGGGAAAAAAAAACGTAGAACAAAAAATCAAATTCACAAAAAATACCAGACTTACTGGTCTGACAAAGACTAGAGGAACCCCCGAGACTACAGCTCTAAGACACCCCTCTGACCTGAAATGGAAGCCATGCTCGGAGACCACCCTTCAGCCAAACAATAGACAGGCCCATAAAATAAACAATAATACCTGAGAGGAATGTGCTCCTTAGATCAATTATATGAGATCAAAGGGGCAACATTTGCCCAAAAGCAAAGATGAGAAGCCACAAAGGGGTAGAAAATCTGGACGAAAGTAAACGCAGAACCCACAGAGGAAATGGGGAGAGTGCTCACACATTGTGGGGAATGCAACCAATGTCATGGAACACTTCATGTACAAACTATTGAATGGGGAACTAATCTGCTCTGTAAACTTCCACGTACAGCACAATAAAAAATTAAAAAATAAACAAATGAAAAAGCCGTGGTGTTTAAACTTTAAATACCTGGAAGAACAACATGAAATAATGCTACTATGTCTAAAACTGGCTGACACATGGAACACAATGTTGCATATGAACAGAAACTGATTACAGAGAAGCATATTATACACCAAACTGGAGTCAAAGGAAAATTATAGCAGGAATTGAAATCTGGTTCAGAATATTGAAAATTCAATGCTGATTTTTGTTTTTTCAGTAAAATTCTATTTTTACAAAACACATTTTAATATGTTATTTTCACATGATGAAGGGAGACTTGTTA